GCAAAACTGCCATGGCCACTGTTTCTAAGACTCTTCCTTACCTAAGACACAGAACAGCCATTTCCACGACCCCCTCCCCCAACACTGCTGCTTAGCATGGGCCTCCCATCTTTATTTGTAAAGGATTCCCACAGCAGCTAACCTTTTTAAAAATTATAATTTTAAAATTGTGTGCGTGTGTGTCTGTGTCTGTATGTGCACACAGGCACACATGCAGAAGATAGATCAGGACAGCTTGAAGCAAGATTTCTCACTGAACTTGGGACTTGCCAAATTTTAGCCTCATGCCCGCAGGCTCAGCACTAGGGCTAAAGGTCTTGTCCACTAAGATATCTCCCCATGTGCCTGTGATGGTGGCGCCCGCCTTTAATCCCAGCATTTGGGATGCAGAGGCTGGCAGATCTCTGAGAGTTCGAGGCCAGCCTGGTCTACAAAGCGAGTGCCAGGACAGGCTCCAAAGCTGCACGTGTCTTGAAAAACCAGACAATAACAACAACAACAAAGGTATCTCTCTAGTCCCAATGGTTAATTCAAAAGATTTATTTCAGTTAGTTTTGAGGCAGGGTCTCACTATGCAGCCCCGGGTGGCCTCAAACTCATAGCCTGTTTCTGAGTGCTGGGGTTAAAGGTGTGCGCCACCATGCCCAGCTTCACCTGTGGTTTCAATAATCACATTTATATCACTGTAGAATTCAATGGACGTCAATCATAAAAGTTATTGCATGTGGGAATAAATGAGTGGCCCTAACTTGTGCCTGACACTACGAAGTACTAGCCTTTTCTCTTACAAAAATCTATAAAATCAACCAGGCATGGTGTCACCCACTCATAAAGTCAGTACTAGGAGGATTGCAGGCTAAAGAACAGCAGCTTAAGTCACACACTGAGACTCTTCCAGAAAAGCAAAACTCTGGGCCAGAGTTAGGTCAGTAGGTAAAAGTGTGTGCTATCAAACCTTACAGCCTAGTTAACCCCCAGGTTCCATGGGATAGAAGGAGAGAACAGGCTCTTACAAGTTGTCCTCAGACCCATGGCACATGCACACCCAAACTCATACACAATAAATAAACGAGGAGCAATCAAAAATGAAAATAAAAACTCAACAATCTATGGAATAGAGATGTGTGTCTAATTTTTTTCTTAAAACAGTGGAGACAGCACTGGGTGACAATGGGTCATGTAATTTTTAATAAGAAAAAAACCAGCAATGCTTCAGATATTAAACTATTATTTGGAAAATTATTTCTGGGTTACCAAGTCTAGAAAGCCTCATTTACACATGCGTCTATGCTCAGAAACCAAAATTCTGGAGACATTTTTTTTTCCTTCTCTCTGAGGTGAACATTATTTCATCTTATAGGATGAATCTTAGTCTAAAACAACGTAACAAGTGGCTGCCGATTAGTTACAAAACCAAGTCCACTGGAGCCCAAACTGAGCAATGCAGTGACAAAAAAGAAAACAGCCGGAAAGAGGAGACAGGGAAGAGGAGACAGGGAAGAGGAGACAGGGAAGAGGAGACAGGAAAGAAGAGACAGGGAAGAGGGGACAGGGAAGAGGAGACAGGGAAGAGGAGACAGGGAAGAGGAGACAGGGAAGAGGAGACAGGGAAGAGGAGACAGGGAAGAGGAGACAGGAAAGAGGAGACAGGAAAGAGGGGCCTATGAGGTTGCTAAGAGCGTCAAGCAGCAGGGGACCGAGGGCAGATGCCAGGAGGAGAAGAGGGACCAACGATGACAGGCAGCAACATGGAGACAGGCAGGTGAGCTGCTCCCAGAGCTGGAAAGCTACCAGCAATGCAGCTGTGACAGAACTGTGAAGGCAGAGCAGGGAACCCCACAGTCAGCTTAGTCAGCAGCAGCAGCAGGAGGCCCCTACAAACTCAAGATTCTCTTTAGACTCCACAGCACCCAACAGTGCCAGGCAGATGACTCTGTAGAAGTTTGCTGTGAGCACAAAGCAAAAACTAGTTTAAAGTTACTTTTGTTTTTTAACTTTACTTATTTATTTGAATCTACTTATTGTGTATACAGTGTTCTGTCTGCATTTTCCTGCACAACAGGACACCAGATCCCATTACAGATGGTTGCGAGGCACCGTGTGGTAGCTAGGAGTTGAATTCAGGACCTCTAGAAGAGCAGCCAGGGCTCTTAACCTCTGAGCCATCTCTCTAGGCCCTAAAGTTACTTTTGTACTTCAGTAAAAAATAAGGTTTTAGAATTTAATTGTTAAAAATTAGGGGCCAGGGTGTGTGTTGTCGGCAATAGAGTGTTGCCTGCCATATACAAGACTCTGTGATCTGTCCCCAACACAAACAGATAAACAGACCAAAAATGTGTGGTAATTTTTAAATTACAGTAATCCCAGCACTTGAGGGAGAGTGAGGCAGGAGAATCAAGAGTTTAAGGCTACCTCGAATGTTGGAAGCCAGCCTGGGCTACATGAGACTCTGTCTCAAAACAGAGACAAATAATGCATGTGGTGTGGGAGTCCCCTCTGTATGCTGTGAATACCACTGGTAAATAAAGAAACTGTCTTGGCCTGTGATAGGGCAAAAGAGTAGAGCTAGGCAGGGTAAATGAAACTGAATTCTGGGAGAAAGAAGGCGGAGTTAGTGAGATGTCATATAGCCACTGCCAGGAACAGATATGTAGAACCTTGCCGGTAGGCCACAGCCACATGGTGATACACAGATGAATAGAAATGGGTTAAAATTAAGATGTATGAACTAGCCAATAAGAAACTAGAGCTAATAGGCCAAGCAGTGATTTAATTAATACAGTTTCTGTGTGGGGCTGAGCAGCCAGGAACAAACAAGTGGTCTCCTACAACATACATGTGTCTGTGTGTGGAAATAATTACACATATAAGGAAACCTATGGCTAGCTTGTATGTTTTACTTAACCTAAAGCCTCACTTTTATGGTATTAAAAAAACAGTAAAATGCTAGTGATTTCTTTTAGCTTAAGACAGGCAGATTTTATTAAAATACACAGAAGAGATACTGGAATATGTATGTGAAAAGTATGTTTACTGGCCCAATGCTCAGCCATAGAGTATGTTGTATTTATTAATGGAATATAGCTCTAGGCGTTCTTATACAGCAAAACTTAACAGACATTTTTTAAAAGGAGACCATTATGTACTAACTGTTAAGTCTGGAGCATAGCCTCCAGCCCCTGGCATCCATCCCATCCCCCTGGCCTGGGAGTTGCTTTGGTCTGGACTTAAGTGGGCTCCCAGAGGAGAAACACATGGTTCTGGGTTTGCATGGGCTCTCCGCTGTTCTGTCTCCCCGCCATGCCATGCCCTCAACACCCGAGAGTGTCGTATCTAATAAAACAATAGGCATTTTGATTTGGTATGATCTGACCTAATTGGATTTCTTTGCACCGCTGGCGGAGCCACCCTTTTCTTATTATTTTTTTCTTAACAGTAACTTCTCAAAGAGACAACTTTCAACTCTACAGTTTCCTAGCCATGGCTGCATGGGCAAAGAGACACTGCCGCCATCCGAGGAAGGGACACCCCATTCGACTGTGACATCACAGCTTGATGACCCCCGAACAGAGCTGTCCCCAGGGCAGAACTCTGGTCTAGTGTTTCACTACCAGTTCTGTTGTTTCTCAGAAAACACTTTGAAAATTGTACTAGGATATATAACATAGAAGTACCATTTTATCCTTTTTTATATATACAGTTCAGTGCCTTATATTCAAATGCTGGGAACTTCACTGCCGCCTACTCCTAACTGTACCATCGCCTTGGATAGATACTCAGTATTCACTGGGCAGTGCTGAATGATTCTGATAAGAGAAAATTAAGACACAAAAATCATAGTTTTGTGGGAACCATCTGACAATCAAATAGTCTGGTAAAAGTAAACAGAAGAATAACTACTGAGTTTAAGGTTTCCCTTTTTAAAAAAAATCTAATTTTATAAAAAAATTAAAAAGGAAAACCCATAGATTATAAGGAATTAACTAAACAGAAGTAGAACAAAGGTCTCAGGAAGCTTGTCGTAGAGTTCCATTCTTCAATTAAATTAACATATAATTTGTTATCTACTTTTATTTTTCTACTTTCTTCCTGAAGTCATCTTTTTCTAAGATAATGCTGTTAGAATACAGTGGGTATACATGAGCATTTTAGGGGTTGAGACAACGTCTTCCTCTGCAGCCAAGGCTGGCCTCAAACTCACGGTGTCTTTCCTGCCACAGCCCGCCCAAGGCAGGATTTACAGGTGTGAGTGAGGACAAGGGCCAACTTCGAGGGAGAAAAAGAACAGAAAAAGCCTCCTCACTTTTCCCAGCAGAAGAAGCTTTAGAGAACCAGAGCAAAGGCCCAGGGAGCTGATGAGCCTGAGGACCCGCCCTGGATCCGCCCACCATGAGTCCGCTCTTCCCACCCATCTCCCTCCCCTAGGGCAGGACACCTGCAGTGGCTTTCTATCTTTGTCTTCCAAGACTTACCTTTTGTGTTAATCTTTTCTTCCCAGGACTTTTAAAATTTTCTTATTAAACAAAGGATGACAGTCCTCTTTCTTTAATTTTTCTTTCTACTTACTAGCTTACAAGTCCACCCAGTACCTCCCAGTGTCATTACTTTGCAGTTCTATTCTGTGAAGCCGGTTTCTAATCATCTAAGATGGATGCGGATACACCGAAGGAGCAGTGAGCACACACACCAGCTTTCATTTTCTGTGGCTCTGAGGAGAAAGATTTCCTCAAGTGTGACCAGTCTGGTCTTCATCTGAGCCCCGAGAATGCTACATTGAATCCACAAGGTTGAAGTGGAAGAATGGTGCTCTTCCCTGCCTCTGTGTAGAGGCAGGCAGCGTGGTTTACAGTTCAGGAACCACGCCATCTGATTCAACATGCATAACTTAACAACTAATGCTTTTGCTAGCTTAAAACCAGAAAAAAATTCATAAAAACAAAGCAACATTTTGCACATGTGAGAATTCATCTTCCTCTAGCTGCTATTCCTTCCTGCCTTACCTCTGCGATCTCTATCTTCTTGGCCAGATCATCAAGGGAGAGCGAGCTCTCATCAGGAGGCAGGCTCTCCTGGAGACTGTAGGATGCTTCTTCAGGAGAGAGGTCTTGGAGGAGGTCAGAGTCGTCGTCCTGGGTATCTTCATAGGAGAGGGACTCTTCCGCGTCTTTTAAGCATCCTTCCAGGAGGCTGTGCAGATAGTCTTCCGTTTCCTTACTGACTTGGTCTTCCTTATCCCGCCCTTCTTCTGGGGTCATACACACTTCTGGACGGGGTACACTTACGTCAGACGCTTCACTGTCGCCACAAAGTGCATTCTCAGAGCCAGGCTCCAAGTCAGTCTGACTCTGTGGTGATTTCCCGTCAACGGCTGGGCGACGGGATTCATCTAATTCACCGCTCTGCAGCTGCTCCCTGGGCAGTGCTTCAAATACACCCTGAACTGGCAGGCAGAGTTCTTTTCGGTGTGCCTGTGAATATTCACTCTCTGAAATCAACACAGGAGGTAAAGCGTCGCCGCTAGCGAAGAGCTGCGGCTCTGTCACTGACTCACTAGGAGGAGACACCTTAAGGTCTTCGGCCACGTCAGGGTGGTCCTCTGTGGGAGGTGCCTGCAAGCCGCAGTCACCCTCAGAGCCATTCTCAGTAGCATCTGGCCCTGACCTGCTCCTGGCAGTCTCTGGGGACGGGGTGTGGAGCTCCTGGGAGGCATTGTTGCCGAGGAGCGGCTCCTCCTCCCCCTCCGTGTGGTCCTTCCCCGCACTTACTGGAAGGTCGGGGGAAGCCGCCTGCCAATCCATTTGATGAGAGCCGGGGCTGCTCTCCCGGGGCTGCTCTTCATGCCGGCCTCCACTAGGTTCCATGGCAGGACCGGCTTCAGTTTCTGAAGATGAAGAAAAATGAGCTGCATTTGAATTCCAAACAATGCTTTGCATGTCAAGGTAGAGAAGGGACAGATGAGTACATGTGTAACAAAAAATTATCTCACCCTCTCAGACAGAAATGCTGCCTGTTGCATTGCAATGGCCTTAGGTAGAACATGCATGCTCAGTGTTTAATAAATAGCATTAGTGCAATAAAAAAATAAAGATTCTTCAAAAGAGTGTTAAAATAAATAAATGAGTCAGTCTTAATTACAAATGAAGATGTTTACATTCTGAATTTTTTGGTCTTTTACATTTAAATGAATACACTTACTGGTCTTTTTGTATACTGAAGTTAGAAAGGTTTTTTTTTTCCTTCTACTTAAGGTATAGCATATCGAGTACATATTTTTAGGACACCTTAATAATAATATAATATGTAAGTAGAACTACATCTAATCAGGATGAACAAGAGTTTGCTCAGATCAAATTTGCAATCTGAACAGAGTACCCTTAGAAATGTGCTTTCAATGACAACTGCTTACTACATGGTCACAAAGGGGACATAAAAAGGACACATTCTGACACAAAGTAGAAACAGGTTTGAACTTCAGCCTTATTACTAGAATAAAATCAACTTAAAATACTTTTTTAAAAACCCTAAGACAGCTAAAGCCCTTTATGTGAATAACGAGTGGATGTTGCCCACTGTGAACAGAGAAGCCTTCTCGCCTTGTTAAATATTTCAGGAAGGCATATAATCCCACAAATAAGGGTCAGAAGTGCAAGATAAATTAGTAATTTTATTGCTTCTTTTTTTTTTTAAGTTTATTGGGATTTCAATTATCAACTGACAATCCAAGTTGAGTCCCTGTTACAGATCAGGCATTTTTTAAGTACTGTCTCAGATGCCAAAGAAGCCTGAACTGGGCTGGCATCCTCAGCTCTCAATGCAGAAGTGGAACTAGGAGTTCTGGGTTCTCCCCACCCCCAACTTCAAATATCAAAGAAGACTGAGAAGAACTGGTCGTCTCTGGGGAGTTCCACATCCCTGCTCTCTCCCACTCTCAGGGTTTGACTGCAAAAGCAGGCGGGCAGCTGGTTCCCAGGGGTTGTGTGCTTTGCCCCAGCTTCCTGGTATTGCCCTACCAGAGGCGGGTGTAGGGTTGGGGTCACAACAAGGAAGGCCACAGCCGGGGAAAAGGGTCAAGCTCAGCCATAAATTCCCAGTACTCACAAAACACATCTGTAGGATTCAGAGACTCAACGAGACTGGGAGCATACTCCCTAAGTCCTGGTGAGCCACAAGGTTGGGGATCATCACATATACAAGGAGGTGATAAACAACAATGACAAAATATAGCGTAAGAGGCAGGGGAAGTCGCCCACAGCACCGACAGTGCTCTTCCTTGTCCGGGATTCGGTCCACCCTTCATAGGATGGATATTAGCTTATGTTTGGATTGCTGAAGCAGTGATAATCCCTACAGTTTACACAGTCGAAGCATGAGGTATTCAGTTAGAAGCCAGAAGATCCAGGCTCTACCTAAGATTCAGGGCCCCAAACAAATGGCTGTAAACGGGGTGCCTCAGTTTCCCCAGCTGTACTACACAAGCCAGCCCTAAGCTTGGTGTAACAGGGTCCTTACACAGCCCAGGCCAGGCTGGAACTCACCGGGTAACCAAGAAGGATGACTCTGAACTCCTGCACCGCTCAGTTCTGGGGAGATGTCTACTCCATGTCTATGAAGTTGTAACAAAGCTTATTTTACCCTGTTTCTGATATACAAATGACCAGAAAAGAGACACAAAGAACAGAGCCTGTGGGACTGACACAGGGCAATGTGCCGACTTTGTGTCAGGAGAGAAAGGGGATGGAGATTTCAGGATGGCTTGACAAGAGCTTCACGGAGGAGAGCGCTGATGGACGCCAACAGCCCCATCCGCATCATCAGGGCGCTCACTCAAAACTCTGTCATCTCTTTTCAGATCAGGGCTCTCAGGCCCAGGATCATAAAGCTCAAAATATAAAATCACAATAAAATCATCCATCAGAATAAAAAATACCCTGAAAACATTAGTTATTCTTCAAACTCCATAAATGCATTTAGAAGTTTCCCAAGTCTTTTGTACTGAGGCACAAATTGATATATAAAACACATCTTAATGATTAAGAAACACACACGGTACACACATAGCACACAAACACCACACAAACACACACATACATACATACAGTGTATGTTAGTGCTATAAATTATCCAGATAGAACTTCTCATTATCTAGATTTATAGAAAAGGTCGGTACCTGATTATCCATTTAGTAATGGTTGTTTTTTTCCTTTAGCAAGAAAGAATATCTAAATATACCAAAGCCATTTCATATCTGTATTTTTGTAAGCCATAACTATTTTTGTATAATCTTTTTATATTCTGTTTTCCTTACTGACAACATAGAAATTATTTTGCTTTTTAAAAGATTTTATATTCTATAACTTCCAGTTATCTAAAAATGGAAATACATATAAAATGTGGGGTTTATACTTTTTATAAGTATATATACAAAAATCTAAATACAAAAAAACTCTCACCACAACAATTCAGATCTAATACTTTAAAATGCCGCAGGTAAGCGGACTCCTGTCTATTCCTCTCCAGTATAATCTGCAGCGGACCTGGTTCTTTGGCTGTTGCTCCTCTTCCCTTTGGCTCTTCAGACACTGCCGGCCGGGTAAGGCATTTTCTCCCCAGTGACTTTTCCACAGGTGCTATCTAAAACGTTTTTAAAAAGGAAAAACATAATCACAGCTTTTTTGAGAAACTGTTGCATTAAAACAGAAAACTGCAAGTGTGCTGAGGAAAGGTTTCTCTAGGATGGCCCAGCCCCAGATGTAAGATGCTGACATGCCCCACAGCCAGAAGAACACCTCTTACCTTATGCTTGGACAAGAGAGGGCTGTGGAAAAGAAGAAAAACATAGTTTTAAAAGTACAGCATGCTTCCAAACAAATGTCACAGAAATGGATATAAAAAATAGAGCCTCTCTGCATTCTAATATTAGCGTGGGACATTCCCAGGGTGCAAACAGTGCCACCGGCTCCCGTGGCTCACAGGACAGCCGATCACTGCTGAAAGACCCCAAACAAGTTACACATGCTTCTTGCACCATAAATGTTTTACAATTTCAGTTTAAAACAGATTATGACAGAACATAATTATGTTGGAATGACTTGTGGACAGACAACTTTCAAGTGTTAGGATTTTTTTCTAACAGTATGCCAATAAAGGCATGGATAAAATAAATCCTGGCTATATTATTATCATAATACTTAGAATCAAGAAACGGCTCAAATGTCTGCAAGTAAGTGAAATGGGTGTGTAAGCTGCCACACGGTCATACGATAAACTGGTGTAACAGTATAACAGTAAACTGATACTGCATGTGATAAAATATAACCCAGAGACAATGATGGACTGAAGGATCTATAACAATAACTGTATTCTGCACGTTTGTATGAAATCATATAGCATGTAAAGCCACAGTTACAGAACTCAGCTGTGATCACAGGAGAGGGGAGTGGGAAAGGTTGACTTGGTAACTCAATGAAGGGACCTTCTGAGAGGTTAGAATGTTTGTATTTTGGATTCTGTTAGTGCTAATCATAGACAGTGGTAGGAAACATTTACCAGGCTCATACAGTGAACTATAAATATGAGGCATAATTTGGGGTACAATGATCTAAAGATACCATGCACATAGCATGTTCAAGTAAATACTTCAAACAGTTAGGACACACTAACAAACCGTGAGTTCCTTCAGGAGGGCAGTGGGTGGTGTCTGCATTGAGTATATTGAAAGTAAATAAGTTATCTTTACTTTAAAGGCTTCTAATCTTTTAAATAGGTTATAAAAATGAAAATATAAAGTAGAAAGCTAACATAAGAACTTCCTAAGAAAATGAGTTACAATTCAGAATCCCTGAAAAGGTTGTTTGCAAAGGTTCAAATTCCTAGCACAGGGAAACCATCTTCGGAGAGTGGACCGGACACTTCCATTGGAACCTCTATTGCTCTTCCAAGGTTGGTCTCCAGGGCATCCAGATCCCCAAGCAAATGCCCTCTCTTCTGCATGGCTAAGCAGCAATTACTAGGACTGTTTCATTATCAACACACGGAGCTTTAGTTTACTGCCCATTATTCTGAAGAGGAGACAAAGTTACTGGCAAAACAGACCACCCTTTATCCTTTGTACAGTGCACTCAGGATCCAAGTCCAGAAATGGGCGCTATTTAAACCCCATGCTCCCTTCCCCTTCAAAGCTCTGAGTGACCCAATGAGCAATTCACAGCAAAGATAAGCAGAACAAAAAATAACAAGCTTTATTATTAGGATAATTTAGTTTTGTAAACCTATCTCCTTGACACAAGTCAAGAAATTGGAAAGTACCCGGTAATGAAGTTTTCCTTCAGTTAGGTTAAATATGAAATACTGAGCTTTTTAGAACTGCTCTTAGGAAGGGTACAGCTCTTCTTATCACAAACAGACACTGGAAAACTGCCAAAATAGCAATAATCAATATACAGAAATAAATATATATATTTAATAAAATTAAAGTAATAAATAATGATTAAAAGACAAATGGAACAAAAGTCCTAATGCGCAACTTAGATAATTTGGCTTGCTGATCTCCTAATTAAACAGTATCAAAAGTAACGATGTGTCTGAGCCCATGGAAACCCAGTGAGGTCGGTGAGAAAGAAGAGCCGAGAAAGAATCCTTAAAATTTCATTATACTCAGTTCAGTTCAGTTTCTTAAGTTGAAAACAGCAAGAAAACAAAGAAATGGATCATACATTTCAATACTTAAGATAATGCTTATCTTCAATAGTCTCCAACTTACTTTAAATAAATTATGACATACTTACTCTTGATGTGTTGTGCAAATTTTAGCAAGCTGTTCAAAATCTTCACCATTGAATCCCTTTTCCGAATTCCTCAGAGGCGTCACTGCATGTGGCTGGACAGCTCTCCATTTTGTTTCTAAATTTAAAATACTTGTTAATCCCTGGCTCTTACAAAAATGTATTTAGGCTTCACTAGAATAATTAATGTACCGCTACCTTCCCAAGCAACCCCAAGGTTAACAAAGTTAGAAGGAGCTAAACGAGTCCTTCACAGAACAGTAAACATTCTAAAAACAAAACTAGCCAGGAGCACACGCAGAAAAATGAGAACAGAGCTATGGAGAGCAAGGCCTGGAGAGAACACCGTCTGCCTTCCCTCTCATGCTGCAGGGGAACCCCCTGGCCTTGTACCCGCTAGGCAAGCTCTCAGATGGGAAGCGCATCCCCGGCCTGTGCTTTGCAACAGACACTTGACTGTGTAACTTCTTTTCTTTTAACATGCGAACCAGGACACTACGCTCACTTTCTAGATAGCGGGTTGTTAGATGGCTTTGAGTTCCGAGTTCCAGGTCAGTCTGTACTCACCCCACTGTTCCTGAATGGCAGAAAGATTCGCGAGCAGCTGCTCATGGTACAGTCGTTCAAGCTGAATGAATTTCATTGCTTTCTCGTCTGAATAGAAAAACTGAGGAAAATAGAAATCGAGACTATATCTGCAAAGGAATGTCCTAGAGAAGCCAAGAAATGTGCTCCTCTGACCAAAACAATGAGAAGGCTCGAATGTTTCTAAACTTAGGCACACCTGACGGGAGGGTTCCTGGCTTTGGGTAAGTACATTCGATGGTAACACACGATGCAGAGGTACTTGGGCTCCACAAGCAGCAGACTCGAAAGGTTTCACTCGAGGACTGCCTGCCTGGCAAGGCATTGGCAGCATCACCAAAGCCATCTAACTGGATAGAGGACCACAGGGGATCCCGGAGTCTGTTGGTTTCCTTCATTTCTCTCCTTAAATGACTCCCTGACCAGGAGATCCTTCAGGTCAGGGTCTCTCTCTGGTTTCATGATTCTTTACTTACTTTTCATTGGACATTTTTCTCCACTGAGCCAAAAAGTATCAAATGCTAAATAATGGAAACATGGCATGGGGCTTTCACAAAAAATTAATTTACCCCAGTGACTTTCCTAATTATAACATAATTCTTTTTTTTTTTTTTTGGTTGATCTTCTTATGACATTTTGGCCTCCCATCTGTGCCACACAAACTTGCATCTTAGGAGGTTTGAGAAACACTGTCCAAATGCCAAGCTTCCTCTGGGCGGTGTTCTAAATGTTGACCCAGAAAAAAGGAAAAGACGATCGGAAGGTTTAGCTTTGTGTCCTTCCCATGAACACTGAGAGTTCAGCTCTCCCTCCCGTCACCTTAATAATCCCTGGGGCCAGGAGAAGCAGAACCACTCCTCTGCTCCCGCTGCCCAGGCCTGAATGCTTCCTATTCAAAAGCTTCCGTGGGATCTACTTGAAAACAGTATTTGTTGGTTGCTAGTGAAGACCTAATCTTTCCTTGGCAGCTACACACAGCTATGTGTCATGAAACATTTCTGTCAGGGAGGAACCATTAAAAAATAAATTTAAATTGCCCAATGATGCAAAAGCATCTTGACATGATGCTCTCCAAACAACAAAGCCACCGAATGACGCCTTTCTCTGGGCGCTGCTGCTGCGCAGCTCGGCACCACTGCTGCCCCGAGCAGTCAGAGGAGCTGCTGCTGTCCCAGGATGCTCCATTATGCGCAGGTTTGACTCCGTGCTTGAGTGAGAAAATCTAACAGACTTTTAAATGTTTCGCCTTCAGCAGTGTGTGTGTTTTCCCCACATTCTCTTGAACATAATGTTTAATGTTGGTAAAATTAGGCCTCCTTGATGAAAGCCAAATTTAGGAGGCTTTAGGGGATTTTCTGGAGTGACCTATTTCCTATACTTTGCTCTTTGAGGCGGTTACATGGGCACACACAACTGCCAAAACCCACCAAAATCATATGGTCTCCACATTTTTTTTTTGCACAGACTTTCAGCTTAAAAAAATAAAATATAAAGATGGGTTCCTCAAGCATTCTATAAATTTCTGTCTGTAGTTAAGAAAGGATACAGTCCTCTTCCTGGAAATAGGTCTCAGCTACCTATAAAGACAAAAGAAGAAATTAATATTTGAGTGAAAGGACAAACTTGGGAGCCAGCAAGATTTTGAAAGGTTGCTTTGATAGATTACTAACAAAAACACTTTCGCCACATTCAAAGTTGAGAGGACTCTGTAAGCGCGGGACACAATCCTTAGGTCCCCGTCAGCAATTGTGCACAGGCATTCCTCAGTCCATGTCACCAAGTCCTGCTAGTCTAGCTCCAGTGGGAACAAGCATCACCTAGTCCCTCAAGTTTCTTAAGGATGAGCGGAAAGCTAAAGATTTACAAAGATACAACAGGGGTGAAAAGGTTAAAAAGATTATTCTGCTTGTTTGTTTATTTATTTTGGCTTTTTGAGACAGGGTTTCTCTGTGTAGCTTCAAAGCCTGTCCTGGAACTCACTCTGTAGAACCAGGCTGGCCTTCATCTCACAGAGATTACCTGCCTCAGCTTCCTGAGTGCTGGGATTAAAGACATGCGCCACCACCGCCTGGCGATTATTGTTTATTATAAATTAAAAGTTAGAAACGGGGTCAGGGAGATGAGATGGCTCAGTAGGGAAAGATGTGCACCAAGTCTGACAACCTGAGTTCAATCCATGCGATCCACACAGGAGGAGAGAACAACTGCTCTAAGCTGTCCTCTGACCTCCACATGAACACACACACACAGACACGCACACACAAATAAATAAGATTACACACAAGCCCTTCCACCATTCATTTCATTTCTAGTTTAAAAACTACCAGCTCAGAACCTCATGGGACACTGGTTTTGGTGTCTGTACGTAGCCCAGGCTGGTCTTGAACGCCACATGCGGCTGAGGAGGACCATAGCTCCTGATCCTCTTGCTCCTGCCTCTCAAGTGGTGGGGTTGTAAGTAGCACTATTGCTGCGACAGGCACATGTGTTGTGATGTTTTTATTTGTTAATCATTTCTTTCGGTGAGCATGTTTGTGTGTGTGCACACAGGTGTATGCACTAGAGTTTGACATGGGGTACTGTGGTGGTTTGAATGTATTTGGCCCCCATAAGTTCATAGAAAGTGGCGGTATTAGGAGGTGTGGCTATGTTGGAGTAGGTATGGCCTTGTTGGAAGAAGTCTGTCATTGTGGGGGTGGGCTTTGAGGTTTCATATATGCTCAGGTCATGCCCAGTGTCTGAGACCACTTCCTGTTTCCTGCAGGTCAAGATGTAAGAACTCTCAGCTCTTTCTCCAGCACCATCTCTGCCTGCATGCTGCCATATCCTGCCATGATGATAATGAACTAAACCTCTGAACTGTTGAGTGAGCCACTCCAGTGAAATGTTTTCCTTTATAAGAGTTGCTGTGGTCATGGTGTCTCTTCACAGCAGTAGAAACCCTAAGACAGCTGTCTTCTGCAATTGCTCTCCACGTTTATTATTGGTATTATTTATGAGACTGGGTCCCACTATGTAGCCCAGGTTAGCCTCAACCTCACAGAGAGCCACTTGCCTCCGCTTTCCCATCTGAACCATCACTTCAGTCCTGTTTATTGTTTGAGACAAGATCTCTTGTAGCACAGGCTAGCTTGGAATTCATTATGTAGCCAAGGATGACGCTGAACTGCTGATCTTTTGGCTTCTACTTCCTGAGTGCTAATCACAGACCCAGTGCTGTATTGCTGTTTTTGAAAAGGCCAAGCTAACTCGGTGATAGTGCTTTCCCAGCATGCTCCAGGCTCTGAATCTAGTTCCTAGAACCATAAACATAGCTTAGCTTGAGGATGTAGCTCAGTGACAGTGTGCTTGCCTACTGTGTGGGGGGACCTGGGTTCAATTCCCAGCACAACAAAAGGGAGAGAAAACGAGGGCAAATGAAATGTCAACAGTTGGACTTGTGCAATGCCACACTTACACCAAACACTAGAGACATTAGTCCTGGGAGCTGATGCCTGAAAAGGTTTCTCATATACTAGTTTCCTTCATTCATTCATTCATTCATTTATTTATTTATTTATTTATTTATTTATTTATTTATTTATTTATGCTGGGTTTCTCTGTGGTTTCGGAACCTGTCCTGGAACTAGCTCTTATAGACCAGGCTGGTCTCAAACTCACAGAGATCCGCCTGCCTCTGCCTCCCAAGTGCTGGGATTAAAGGCATGCGCCACCATCGCCTGGCTACTAGTTTCCTTCTAAAGGATCTTCAGAACAAAACAAAATAAAACTGAACCAGGCATGCACCTTAAGCTCAGATACTGAGGATAAGGCAAAACAACAGCCTAATCCCATGAGTCTAGGACCAGCCTGGACAGAAAGCCCTGTCACAAACAAACACAGTTAATTAAATTAATTAATTAGTTAAGAATTTTTTTGATTAAAAATCTCTGAACTCCTAAAATGTCTCCACTATATTTTTGATTCTCTGTCTCACACTTGTTACCTTCCTACATCTGGCCTGGTCTTGCAATCATCACATGTGGCATCCACGAACTGTTCCTGAATCCAACAGAATTATCATTCAGCAAGTGTCTTTATCTCAGACTCAAGAATGTACAAAAGTGAGTAAAATGCCATTTTAAACTTTAGAAGCAACATTTAATTCCGTATATCCAACTTCAGAGAGCAGGAAGTTCTGGGGCACGATGGCCTCTGCTCTCTGCGGGGAAATGGCGTGTACTGACGCCCTCTTCACGCGGTGGAGCGCTGTGCTCTATGTAAAGCCGGTCCCCAGGCTTACCCTCTGCAGCTGCCGTACTTGCAGATGAAGAGTGAAATGCATCAATTCCTTGCCTTCCCATGAATAAGATTTTAATGATTTCGTTTGGTGCTGGCACTTTAGTAACTGTGTTACATAAACTCCAAAATTGCCTTTCCTCTAATAAACAGCAACCTCTGCTGCGGATTTCAAAACCCCCTCGCAGGGCTCTGAGGAATGGGGTGACAGCAGTGCTGACGCCGTAGAGAAATGCAGCAAGAACGTCTTAAAGAAGGAATGCATGCTGTGTGTTCAAGCAACTGTACAGGCTGGGAAGGGAGCTTGCGGGAGAGCACTTGCCTGGCAGGGTTCAAGGCCCCGCGTCAACACACAGCCCGGGAAAATAAGCAATAAAAGATAACTGTACCCTGTGGTGGTTATCTCAGCTCTGGGCCCTGCGATGCACAAGGACAACTCCTTTTTAGGAGTCCTCACCACTGTTTATACTGTATATGGATTTTGGTTGAGAAGTAGAATTTTAAGAAGCAGATCCATTGCACATTTATATGTATCCACATATAAATTATATTTTTATATCTGAAAAAAAACCTAAGAGATTTTCTTTAGGACCTTGATGATAAGGTATTTATAACTAAGACCAGTAAGCGCTAAACTATTGATAAAGTTTGGCATAACTTGTGATATGTAAAATATTCCACATAAGTATTGTTTTACATTACACTACATTGCTTTTACATTAGTTATTCTTTATGTGTACATGTGTGGAGATCAGAGGATGGTTCGCAGGAGTTGGTTTCTCTTCCACCATCAGAGTTCTGGGGACTGGCTCAGGTTTGCTGACAAGCACCTTTGTGTGCTGAGCCATCGAGACAGACAGCTTTACACTTTCAGAACAGCGTCTACAAAGTCCTCTAGGTTTCTAGTAAAAAATAAATAAATAAAGGATTTCATTTGTAGATCCCTATCTCTATTTTCTAGGGACCTGCCAGTACACAGAACAATAAAGTAGCTGTTAAACTTAAATATCTTTAAATACTCCAAGAGTACAAAAGGTCTAGATCACCTTTCGATACATTCAGGTTCAGCAGAAACAAAGCAATGCCCGGAGAGTCTGTCCCAAGATCTGATCTGCTGGGAGCAGTACAACTGCCCTCTTGGGATGCAGCTGTCACCTTCAAATTTCCCTTCACCTAGACCAGCAGTTCTCAACCTACAGGTAGAGATATCAGATGTCAGGCCCTGAAGCAGGAATATTCTCAGTCTGAGAGCTGTTAGGAGGCCAGAGCTCCCAGAAGACACTGAGACAGTTTGGTAGGAATCAAGGGTGGAGAGGTAACAGGCACAGATCACAGAAAGTCATGGTGAGGGTTTTGCTTGACTTTTATATGAATGAGATGAGATGTCACTGGAAGGCCCTGAGCAGTGAAGTGACAGGGTCTAAGCTGTGCTTCATCTAAATCACGGTAACTTCCAGGTAGAAGGGGAAAATCTAAACAACACTAGAGTTAATGCAGGGAGGTTTGCACAGTGAGAAAGTTCAGGTGGGATTCGATGAAGGGACACAACACTTGCTATTACAGAGGAAGGGCCCGTGGGAGGGCTCTGCAGGTCAACAGGCTCTGCCTGCTGCGTAAGCCTGACAGTCTGAATTTGATCCCTGGAACCCATGCAGGTGAGAGGTTGTCCATGGGGTTGTTTGTCCATGGGGTTGTCCCCAGACCTCCATATGTATATGGTGGCATGCCCTTCACATCCCCTCATACACATATATGCCATAATAAAATTAATTCGAAATATTTAAATGAAAAAAAGTATTTGAACATGTACAAACCATAATGAGAAAACTATAAACATTTGTCAAAATGTTTACAACTGATGAATGTAGGCGAAAGGCAAAAGGTGATGGACTGGGAATTGCTCAAATGAATGAAACCACTTCCACCCCTCTCCAGCCGTGTCTCCTGGGAAGTGACAGGGTATTCTGCATCCTGCACAGAGGTGATGACCTCAGCCGACTCCTGTGGTTCTAATGCATCAGCATCCTTTGCAGCTACTCGGCAGGAACTTCACAGCAGTCTCTGCACTGGCGACAGTAAGGACAGAGCTGTGTGGTGTAGCAGTCGTAGGCTTTTACTGTGTACCTACCAAACACTGCACCGCATGCTCATGCTCATTGACGCAATTCATCTTCCACCAACTTTCTCATGATAAAGAAGCCAAGCCACACAGCTCAGCAAAAGCCTTTCTGCTCACTGAGCTCCCCTTGAGCATGCAGACTGTGGGACGTAGAGGAACGGCAGTTAGAGGGCTAGGACACTGTGAGTTTCTGGGAAAGAGGTAGTGTTTTTCAGTGAAATGGAAGCGGATAATCTTTAGGTCCAGTCAATATTATTATTGTCTTTCAGACTCAAATGGGGCTTTTCTTTCCAGACTGATTTGCCCCTGCCCGAGGTCACCTGCCATTGAAAGAAACCTTCTTAATTCTAATGCAACCATGGCTTAAGGATAGAAACTCCATAAAAAGATGTCTGCCTTGCTATTTCCATTTTCATCTTAAATATTCTTTCCCCGACATTTTACTGAACTTCTTCAGCGGAGTTCAGACCACAGGAAAACCAACAGCACATACTTTCACCCCTGATCCGGCAAAGACTGTCGCACTTTCACATCCACTTTCTCTCTCAGCAAACTACTTCCAGAGCCGCAGGGCTCGTTTCAAATATCTCTACACTTGTGCGTCTATCACTCAGGAACAAGGAGTCTCCTAGATAACCCAGAACCTAATCATCCTTAGGAAAAAATGAGGCTTGGGGCTTGAGAGAGGCTCTGTGGTGAAGGGTGGCTTCAAGTACTGGCACACATGATGGGCGGATCACAATGTTCTGCAACTCCAGCTTCAGGGGATCCAACACCTTCTTCTGGTCTCTAAGAACGCGCGCGCACTTGCACACACACACACACAGACTTAAAAAAAAGCTTTTTAAAATGATGCTTTACTACAATGGTATTTAAATGCAGCCCATATCCAAACTTCTTCAGGTTATTTTAAACACAAATGCATCCAATCTGATAGCAAATTCTAGTACTAGTGTTGAGGAACGCAATGAGAGCAAATGGCAGTAAGGATGATCAAACAGCTGTGAACACTTCTTACAAACTCAGTCCACTACGTGAATGTAACAAAGGCTGGGCGCCAAGGGAGGGCTGCCTGGGTGAGGTGGTCTTCAGTGATGGCAAGTCAGTAACGCTTTAGAGGCCAGGTGCAGGCCAGGCTTCCTTATAGTCATACAGCAGACAATAAAAACATACAACTTGGTGCCTTGGGACAAAACATATTTTACTTAAAAATATTATGACTGCTCACTGCAACAGTTGAAACAGAAGTAAACGAGAGGAAAAGCTAAGGCTAAGGCTAAGGCTGTAGCTCAGTTTGGCAGAGTGCTGGCTCAGTCGGCCCTGGACTTGATCCCTTGCATCGAGTGCTTGCTCAGCCCTGGACTTGGTCCCTCACACCACATAAACCGCACATGTTGGTTCATGATGGGAATCATGTCACTTGAGGGGAGGAGGCGGGGGATCAGAAATCCAAGGCATCTTGAGCTACAGAGCTAGGACACAAGAAACACCATCTCAAAAAAAAAAAAAAAAAAAAAACCAAAAAAAAAAAAACAAAGGGGGGAAAAAAGTTAGCCAGGCAGTGGTGGCGCACGCCTTTAATCCCAGCACTTGGGAGGCAGAGGCAGGTGAATCTCTGTGAGTTCGAGACCAGCCTGGTCTACAAGAGCTAGTTCCAGGACAGGCTCCAAAGCTACAAAGAAACCCTGTCTCAAAAAAAATTTCAAAAAAGTTTTTTCGAGACACGGTTTCTCGGTAACAGCCCTAGGTATACTGGANAAAAAAAAAAAAAAAAAAAAAAAAAAAAGGAAAACAAACAAAAATCTTTCTCTAGTCCCAAGTACCAATTATTTTCATTTTAACTGCAAATAAAAGGCAAATCACAAATATTTAAATTTTTCCCAAGTGACCTCATTTGTGAGAAGGCTTTCCTTTCCACTGCTGTCCTGAAGGCCTCTTCTCTCCACATTCTCCCAACTCAACACATCCCACCTCCCAATCTTCAGAAGATTCTGTTTCCAGAAGTAAAGTTGCACTCTGGGTATTGTAGTCACTAGGTAGCTGAGTGCCTACAGTTATCCCCAGACTCACAAGACAACCAGAACAGCAACACCCCACCCCAGTGCAAGACAACAACAACAACAACAGCAACAGCCCCCAGCAAAGGCATTCTCAGTGACAACGGCTTCTAGTCTGCATCTTGCCTGCCTCTTTCCAGCTGTGACATCCCAGCCATGTCTTCACAGCCTAGTCCCTCGGCTGTGACTGCTCATTTTTCTTGTAAGACTCTTTAAAATTGACACATGTGGGTGTTCTGCCTGCATGATTTATGTCTGTACACCTCTTGTGTGTTTGATGCCTGCAGGGGCCAGAGGGTGTTGGGATTCCCTGGAACTGGAGTTTTGGACAGTTGTGAGCTGCCCTGTGGATGCTGGGAATTGAACCAAGTCCTCTGGGAGAGCAGCCAGTCCTTTTAGCCGTTCCAGCACCCGTTTACCCTGAACCTCCCTTCAGGAGCTGCCTTCTTTTCTCTGTTGCTGACAAGTTAACTGCTGAACCTTATACTTGTCCACTCTACAGCACAAAACCCCACACTTGTGTCTACGTACTTATTTCTCCCATTTAACCACGGCTCTCCTTGGAACATGCCTTAGGAAATCTTTGTTCCTTCAGTGGCTAGCAGAACTCTTGGCATCCTATTGGAGCTTACTAAACTCTTGCCATATTGATTCCTCCTTAGCCTTAGCTGAGTCACCGGATAAAGGCGTTGGCTACTGTCCAAACGACAAATCATCCAGGTCACAGTGTGTCCACCTCCCAGAAGAGGCCAGACTTTCTACTGGCCATGCGTTTAGGGTCAACAATGGGTGGAGGGGTCAGTCATGGAGAAGCGGATTTTAGATGCCTCCAGACACTGGCGGCAGCGCTGGTGAGGCTGCGAACACAGGGCGTGGTCTTACCTGGTGGAGGAAGAGGGGCAGAGCTCTGGAGTCCATCTGCTCCACCTCACCTCGGATCAGCGAGAAGAGCGGCTGCAGTGCTGGCGCTGGAGCTTTTGGGGGTTCATTCGCGTTCACTCCGGCAGCCTCCTCAGCATCAGCCTGCAGCTCTGCATTCACTGTCTGCATTGAAGGTACGGCAGCTCCTACTGGACAGGAAGGAAATGACTACATCAGGCTAGACCCTGTCATGGAGGAATGTTTTTAAACTATCACTCCACGGATGAGAAAACGTTCAAGTAAACTAACCACATGGGGAAAAAAAACCATAGACCATAAACGACTGTCCTCCTCCAGTGAGCGATTTGTGCTTTGTCGTTGCTAGGAGCCCCGATGGAGCCATTTCCGCAGAACTAGAACTGAGTATCAGTGAGAAGGGGCTGAGGAGACAGGGAGCTCGGTTAGTAAAGGGTTTGCTTTACAAGTATGAAAACCCAAGTCAATGCCCAGAAGTCACATAAAAAAAAAAAAAATCGGGCATGGTAGTACACGCTGGTAATCCCCCTGCTGGAGAGACTCCTGAAGGCTTGCTGGCCAGCCAGCGGACCCCTTGATGAGGTTCAACCTAGTAAGAGACTGTTTTTTTTTTTAAAAAAAGTGATGGTATCTGAGGGCTACCATTTAATATTGTCCTCCAGCCTCAATATGGACACACACACACAATCATGAACTTCAGAGCTATATAACCCACACTCTATTTTACCCCTTGAGACAATGTTCCCTACTCAGACAGAGCCCACAGGGCAAAGAGCTTTGGACAAGGAAGGAGCCAGGGCCCCGTGACTACATTATTTTTCAGGTGACCTTAGATTAGAATATTACTCACTGTAAATGGAGATAAGTTCTCCGCTCTCTCCTAGATCTGAACAACTAAAACAGTCAGTCAAGAGCCACAGAGATTCTGAGGATTAAGAAACGCATGGAGTGCTAGGCTCGGTGGCACACATCTGTAATCCCATCAATTGGCAAGTAGAAGTTGCAAGGTCTGAGGATCCATACCGTCTTGAGCTACACAAGGAGTTTGAAGCCAGACTGGGCTACAGCAGAATCTGTCTCAAAAGAACAACCATACTGGAGAGCTAGATATAGGAAAATACCTGAGACTTGCTGGCCTCCCAATCTAGCCAACCAGCCTTGGGTTCAACGAGAGACTGTCGTAGTTAGGGTTACCATTGCTGTGATGGAACACCATGACAAAAGCAAGCTGCAGAGGAAAGGCTTATTTGGCTTATGCTTCCATGTCACAGTTCATCCATGAAGGAAATCAGGACAGGAACTAAATCAGGCAGGAACCTAAAGGCAGGAGTTGATGTAGAGACTACAGAGGGGTGCTGCTTACTGGTTTGCTCTTCATGACTTGCTCAGCTTGCTTTCTTATAGAACCTGGGACCACCAGTGGAGGGGTGGTACCACCCACAATAGGTTGGACCCTCCCACATCAATCACTAATTTAAAAAATATCCCACAGTCTTGTCTATGGCCTGATAAAAAAAACCGGCACAGAAAGAAACTCAGTCTCAAAATCTCTCTCTCCCTATGTATAATATAAAATAATAAGGTGGACAGCAATTGAGGAAGATACTGACATGGATAATGGACCTCAACAAATACACATTCATGCAAAAAAAAACATTTGTTTAAAAGAAAGAAATAGAAGGCAGTGGGTGTTGTTTAATGGTGTAAGGCCTAGGACTCCATCCTTTGCACAGAAAAAAAAAAAAAAGGAGGAGGAAGGAGGAGAATTTAAATGCCATCGTTCAGACAAGTGTGAACAATTGTTTTAAAACCCGAAAATGAGGCTATCCTTCTCCAACCCAATGAGTGCTCTCCAGTTCCCTTACATCAGACATGGAAGGATTCCCGGCAGGAAAACAGACTTTCGCAGGAAGAGTTAGTTCCACAGCATTTCCACATAGTGGGTTTTTGTTTTTAGTTCTGCCAAAAGTTTTCAACAGAGGTCTACCATGGCTTATATAATCATGCTACTAAACAAGGACATACTTTATCTGAGGGACATATAAAGGAGACATTAATATTCTAACGACATGGAGTTATACTTAAAATATGCCCTTACTGGCTTCATGCCATCAGCAGGACAAAGAATTCATATTAGAAAACTATCTGCCAGGCACGGTGGCGCATGCCTTTAATAATACCAGCAGAGGAGGAGGCACAGGCAGGGGGATCTCTGTGAGTTCCAGGACAGCTAGGGCTGTTACACAGAGAAACTCTGTCTTGAAAAACTGAGAGAGAGAGAGAGAGAGAGAGAGAGAGAGAGAGAGAGAGAGAGAGATCAAACTATCTGTTGCCAAAATGGATGCTTGGAAGCCAGGTAGCCTGCTTACAACCCTTGATTCCTGTACTTCTGCCAAGTTACTTAAACTCTGATTCCCTAGCTTTGTCTTGATTTCTCTGCAGCACAGGGGAGACAGCATCTACCTTCTAAGATGATGTGAGCACTAAATGAGCTGATAAGAACCGCGGGACAACGTGAGGTGTGCTCCACTCGCATGGTCATTTAACAGACAGGTTTACCTCTGAGACTGGCTCCTTCTTTTCCTTTCTTTTCTTTCTTTATTTTTTTTTAAGAAAATATTTACAGGCTGGGCGGTGGTGGTGCTCGCCTTTAATGCCAGCACTCGGGAGGCAGAGGCAGGCGGATCTCTGTGAGTTCAAGGCCAGCCTCGTCTAGTTCCAGGACAGGAACCAAAAAGCTACTGAGAAACCCTGTCTTGAAAAATAAAAAAAAAAAAAGAAAAGAAAATACTTGCAGGCAAAGGCTACTAAAGGCTAATATAACACCCCTAATGTTGCAGCAAATAACAGAAATAGTAACAACTATGCTGGAAGTCAGACAGGGTGGCACTCTCCAGTGGCCTCAGCATTTGGAGGAGGCAGGAGGGGCAGTTCAAGGTCATCCTTTACTACTTAGGAAATTTAAATCCACACTGGGCTACATGAGAGATGTTCCCCCAAAAAGCAAAATACAAGAATAACAAACAAAACCAGACACATAAAGAGTCACATGGAAGAGTTAAACTGTTCAGTGTTCAACACCGTTAGTCTGAACACAAGTGGACTCCCCATACAGCAACACGTGACTGCTTTCCTGCTTGGCTTCTTCTGCTTGGCCAGGATTCAAGTTTCCTTCACGTCTTCCCTTAGCTTCAGATCTCATTTCTTCTCAGCGCTGAATAATCCTTCAAGAGCTTGTTTTGTCAGGGAAACAGTTACAGAGAGAGGCACCGGCACAGTCGCAGACTTACGGACTAACACAACATGAGCCTCTACTGTACTGACTGACTATAATAGCTACTGAGCTTTCACACCGCAATATGGAAGCTCGCGGTTACCCATGTGTCTTTCAAGGTAATTTTGATATTGCTACTTTTAATGATGCCCTAGGAGTCTTATACATGCTTTGCTTTTAGATTAATTATGCTTCGTGAATTACCACTAAATTTCTTTGTGGTAACATAAAAATTTTCTGGTGAAAACACATTTCTAGTTAAGCAAGAAAATCAAGACACAAACTGCCACTGCAATTTCCCCTTCAGTATAACGTCCCATTCAGTATAAATAAACCTCTCAGCTGCTGTGCATGGATCCAGACGCCGAGAGACGAGAAACTCTGTTTACCTTCCTCTGCAAAACCACGTGCGTTTTAGTTAAAATACCCACCAAGCAACTCGGTGATGCTATTTATACATCTTGCAGCTGACAGGCAGATTCATAAGCCCTAATTTAACTTAACACCTGTCAACTTTATTAAGCTCCGACACAGAGACTACAGTTCAACATTTGTCTGTTAACGTTTCATGGAGCTTTTATACTTGATTTTAGCAGAATTCTAAGAAACCACTGTAGTCGATTAAAAAAAAATTATTTGTGGGGGCTGGAGAGATGGCTCAGTGGTTAAGAGCATTGCCTGCTCTTCCAAAGGTCCTGAGTTCAATTCCCAGCAACCACATGGTGGCTCACACCCATCTGTAAAGAGGTCCGGCGCCCTCTTCTGGCCTTCAGGCATACACACAGACAGAATATTGTATACATAATAAATAAATAAATATTTAAAAAAATTATTTGTAACAACTTTGGGGCAGAGATTGGGCAGTTTATCTTGACTGAGTTTATTCAGTTCTGTGTCTCATCCAGCTTAGACCCTCAGCCTAATGGTGTCAAGAGGCACCCCGCAGAACCCCCTGATATCCTCTCACAGCTTTTGTATTCAAATGCCCAGATTGCACCATGGTACCATGCCCCTTCTGTAATCTGCCATCTGTGAACACAGCAGAGATGCGGCTGTTTGGCTCCAGGCTGGGGGAACAGTGTGACTGGATCATGGCAAAAACCATGAGTGTGAAACATTATCATGGACAAATGAGACCTCAAGGAAGCCAGCAATGACAGGGTAGACGGTGGTGGTGGGATTCCGAAAATTAGGGTTTCAAAAACAAAAGGGCAGAAGAGGCAGTCCGCTCTCCCTTTTATCTACCCTGTCTTTGTTACCTGAAGGACTGTCTTTGTTTACCTCATTAGGAACCCCTCCAGAGCAGGAAAGTGGCAAGTATTGTTGAAAATATTGTCAAGCGATCAGAAAGTCAAATGGTCACAAAATGACATCTGAAGCCATAGAGGAAAAGCCAGGAATAAAGCTACCCCCCCCCGCCCCGCCCAGAAACCAGGGCGTTCGAGAGTGCTTGTGTAACTGGCAAACTACAAAGCCACCCCCAGGTGTTGGGAAAGATAAATGCATAGAGGACCCGGGGAGACCTTGGCTTTCACCTCAATGAACTAAGCTCTGCACGGAGCAGGGAATGAAAGCTGAGGCAGAGCCACAGCTTGTGAGAGGAGAGCCTAGAGCCAAGCTGTACAGCCCTGAAGGGGAGCCCCAGCTAACCAAACTACGAAGTGCCACCCTCTGCTTCCCAGAGTCACCAGGTCCTTTCAGTAACCAAAATCTCAGAGTGTACAAAGAAACAGCGCAGAATGGCCTGTGTAAGGAGAGACATCAAATGGCGGAGAACATCCCGGAGGAAGACTCCACGTCAGACCCACCAAAGAATTTAAGTTAACAATCTCCAAAATGCTCAAAAATTTAAGGAAGTTATGAACCAAACACGAAGGGAAAAAACAAGAAAGCACTCAA